CACCCTGCATCCATTTAGCTACTCAAGTTTATCCATCCATTCATTCTTGTCCATCTAGCCATCCTTCCATTCACCCTGCATCCATTCAGCTACTCAAGTTTATCCATCCATTCATTCTTGTCCATCTAACCATCCTTCCATCCACCCTGTATCCATTCGGTTACTCATTTTATCCATCCATTTTTAATTTATAAGAATTTTTAATAGTAAAATACACACAAAACGTCTCTGCACAAAATCAAATCGATCAATTATTATACGTATTTTGAAATTCAAAATAGCAAAATATTCAAAACATGAAGACTTAAGGCTCTACCAAGTAATGGGAGCCTTGCGTGACAATTCTAATAGCGTCTGCGTTGGAGAATAATGATTTAGCGTGAGTTAAGAGTGCTTGCACTATTTCTTGTTGCGAATAACGAATATTACTTGTATCCTCATTGTTTCAGAAGCGTGATCGAAATACTAACCATCAAACTTGTTAAATCTTTTTCTCTTCTCGACCCCCTTCATCGTTTATTCTAACAGAAGGTGCGGTTTACCATCGAAATATTCACTCATATATCATACTAGAATGTTTCCATGGTCATATTGCGAAGCATGAAACTGTTATTCTTGTTTCAGTGGTGAAGTGATGAGTGACGTTTGGAAGTGAATGACTGAACAAAACAAAACGTGAACCATGCCATGTTTCTACTATTTCAATCTGCTTGGAAGTCAGTACTAGGCATCGTATTTCGATAGTTCCACTTACCATAAGATCGTAGCATCGAATAAGTTTATCTAAACACGAAGTTACTAGTACACTACCAGCGACTTGGAGGCTGCTTACGCTCAGTGTGTGACCAGTGTAACTCCTAAGCAGCTCGCCAGTCTAGAGATACAACGAAAAACAACAGACAAGACTGATCACCATCAGATCAATACAGGAACCTTGTTAGCTCATATAGCGCGGCCTTTCTCTTTTTGGGGTATTTATATCTTATTTCAATTTCGATAGATTATTCATAGAGTAGACAGGGGACGACCGCCGAAGGAAACCCACGAAAAAGTTTTAAATTCAGACCCTCGCAAGTGCGATTCCTAGTGTTTTGAGGGGCATTTACAACATATTTATTGCATTGGCAACCATGCAAAATTTTAAATTAATTACTATTGAGTTATGGTTGGAAAGTTTGTTACTACTTCGACAACCACACACACGTCTCAGTCCTCGTCCTTCTCCATCTCCTCTCCTTGGTATGTGTGTGCAAGCCATCTTTTTTTCATTTCCAACCCTAAAGAAGTTCTCCTAACACATGATCCACTTACATTCAGGTTGTGTGCCAAGACTTTTGCATCTGCTGCACCACTGTAAATTACATTATCGACCACCTAGAGTAATAATGATTAGAACAATATGAGAACATTGATTCAATAATTTAGTTCTTAGCAACCCAAGTGAAGCATTCAATCACCTCCAATAAATTGGAATAATCATCGTGGCAGTATAAATATGACCAATCTGACTTGATTCTTCACTTGATTCTGAAGATGACTTCCGCTCAGGTTGTCGAAACGTCAGTCACATCAAACAGTCCTTCTCAGGACTACATACACCCGGATGATCATAATACTTCGATTGACATTCATTCACCTGGGTTCAGACATTTCTATACAAATTGGAATAACATTGCATTTTTGTTGACTTTATTTACATGGTCCAAGAAATGGAAAGGAGTTCGAGACTCAGCGGTTTTTTTATTGTTTCTTTAAACTAAGTTTCTTGTTGCTCATCAAAAATATTTCGGTTACCGCAAAAAAGGTTTTTTGTTTTATTGATCATAATAATAAAAAATAATGAAATCAGGAGCATCACGTTGTCTCAGCCCTCTTACATCTGAAGAAAATGAACTTCTAAAAGGTCTTCTCATTTAGTAATATTTTCTGAAAAGAAAAGTTTTAAGTAATGACTTAAATTTACTTAAAGTTTCCGCAGAGCGGACATGTCATTGGAATAGAATTCCTAAGTCTTGCATGGAGTTGATACCATGCATTATGCTCTGTCCCCGTTGCTCTTTAAGTTCGATAATGGTGCTATGACGTAAGAAGGCCTTGGTTAGATGATCTTAGGTTACGTTGCGTTGGGGCTTGTAGAGTGCAAATCACATATCCGCGAAATAGTACTAACAAATTAGTACAACTAAATAACACTAATGAAACAATTGAAAAGAAATAGATGTTTTTAGTGCTATTTAGTTTTTGCGCTATCGTTTTACACGAGAAAGAACTCTATTCCCGAGAGCAAAGGGATTTTATTGTTCTGCCATCTATACACAGGCAGTCCAAGCTGTATTTTGCGCACCTGCGCATGATGGTGCAAAACCTCTATACTCTTGTAAAACAAAGCAAAGCAAAGTGCTTATCGCTTGACTAAAGTTTTAAAGTGCCTATCACCCTTCTGACAATATTCACAGTATTGATTCTACATGGGGTAAGGTGTTGAATAACCCGAAAAAAATTTATAGTTTGAGTGAGGCTTCTTGAAGTTATAAAGGTTTTTCCATGCCATATGCTAATCCTGTGATTTCTGAGGATAGACTTATTCCATAAGTCGGTGTTTTCGCTCTTTTGTCGAATCTGGATATCGTTGAGCGGGCACAACCCACTAAGGAGCGAAAACTACGACTTATGGAGTCAGTCTACGTATGAGGAGTAATCATTTAATATACGACACATTACTGGCACAGATAGATTAAATTTGAAATACGTCATTGTTTTCCCAATTGACCTTATAGAAATTATTGCAAGTTAGTTTTCACATAGAAGCAGGTTTTTCGAATTACGAGGAACAACAAATAACCATAAATGCCTCCTCATACGCCACAGGATTAGCATATGGCATGGAAAAACTTTATTAACTTCAAGAAGCCGCACTCAAACTATAACTTTTTTTCGGATTATCCAACATCTTTCCCCACGTAGAATCAATACTGTGAATATTGTCAGAAGGGTGATAGGCACTTTAAGATGGCGTAAAACTTTACCTGCATAGAAAGTACAGTCATAGAATGGCCAGTAAATGTCTTGAACAATAATCCAGTCTGAAAGACAGAAAAATGATATCAACAACATAAAAACAACATAAAAAATGATGTCAATGTGTTATATCGGCTGAGAGAAAGATTTCATTTGCAGGTCCTGCGAGTAGGGTCTCTTCTGTTTTTCTCCATTCTTTAGGCGGAGAAAAGAGAGAAAAAAGTCTATCCTCCCCCTCAATCAATGCCAAAGGGAAATAGACTCTGCTATAGTCTGCTAGAGTGCATATCATTATACCATATATCCGTGAAAAAACTTTGTGAGAAATTGCAAAATATAGTAAGTTCAGTAGAGCGTAGACCTTCAAAACTTTTTGCACTAATTTGTACAATCTTGTTGGTTAACTTTTTCACGGATATATGGTATGCACTTTACCGTAAACTTACAAAACTTTACAATAATCTGTACAATTTTGTTAGCAAACTCTTTTAACGGATATATCTTATGCACTCTGGCGGGGAAAATGGGCAAGATTCATCAACAAATTGTACGTTGTGCTTACATCTTTTAGAGGGAGCAAATCGAATGCGAATCGATCCACAACAAAAAACAAACTAAAAAACCAGGTTCAAAACAATCCTTTTTTAGCCTTTTTCATAATCCATAATAATTAATAATAAT